CCAAACTAAAATTTGAATTTATGTTCGTGTTAGCTGTGAAAAACACGATGTCGTGTTCGTGTTCAAAATTCAACACGAAATTGACACGATTTAATAGTTCTTTATCATGTTTTTCGTGTTTGTCGTATTTATCGTGTTATATGTGATAAAATATTCATTATGTAAACTAGTTTTTAGTATATATTATATTTGTCGTGTCGTGTTTGTCGTTTTTTAATGCGTTCGTTTCGTGTTAGTTAAAAAAAAACAGAACATCGTGTCGTGTCGTGTTCGTGTTAAAAAAAACTTTGTCGTGTCGTGTCGTGTCAAACCGAAACACGAAACGATAGAACGATTTGTCACCCCTACAAAAAATTAACAAGTGCCAGCAAACAGGTTTGTTATCTCTCTCCATCTTACCGATGATGCAATTTTTCAATGTTTGAGTCAATACAACATGTTCATCAAAGGGAGGCTAGGGTTTAAGGGTGCTTTGGAGTTTGGGAGTTGATGGAGGTGGAAGGTGGAGAAAACCTAACCATCACATCCTTTAAATAGTGCACAAAACTCGAAGATTAGGGTTTCTAAAAAATGAGTCACCTGCACACCGTGGAAACCATTAAATGAGAAGCGTGATCTGGGAAAATGCCATATCGTGGTGATCCCTTCACCATGTTGTGGCTATCAGAATTTCACAATTTGAAATATACTTCATACCTGGAGTCCAGGTGTTACACGTATGCATGGCCGAAGGCAAAAGGAATTTTTTGAGTAGCATAATAATTGTTGAATGGATGGGATCGCTTCCAAAAACTCCATTAAATTGTGAATTATTTATATTCCATTTCTTTATTTTCAACAGAATTTTGTTAAACAAAATAAAGTGTCTAGTTGAGGTTCGTAGTATACGTGATTTAGTCGAAGTTTTCTTCACGAGTCTCATGCAAAAGAAGCATATTTTTAGCTTCTAAAAAAGAGCAGAATGGCTTGGTATTTGTGATCAAGTCAATAATGCAATGAGATGGCGGTGGTAGTTGAAATAAAATTTGCATTACCAATTGCATTTTGGTGATTGGAGAATCCACATTGGCGAGAGCATGGACAAGATTCTTGAGGTTATTCCAGTAATCAGTAATTGATGAGACACTTTTCTTCGTGTTGGGAAATTAATTTTGAAACTAAAGCATACAAGACATTTTATTATTAAGAAAGAACTCGTCCAACTTATCCCAAAGATCCTTGGTGGTACAATTGTTGGTGGAAATTATCAGGTTCGGTTTACAAGCCGAGTAATACCATGACTTGACAGGGGAGTCAATGGATTCCTAATCTTCATCTTCTTCACTTGCGGGTTTGGAATTTCCATTAATGTGCATGCCGAACAACTTTGACTACCTTCCAAATAACAAGAAAAATTTGATGTCATATCTTGTATTTTGAATCATAAGCAATTAGTTTAAAACTAAATTTTGCATAGACATTTGTGACAACATATACTAATTGACAAGCAAAGGAAATAGTGTTCGATGATGATGCGAGTTAAGACATGATTCCGCTAAATTAAAAAAATATCCTGAAATAAAATAGCATAACAAAGTTTGGTTGCTTACCGTGGTTGAAAGATTGTAAGAAAGCAACGATCTCTATCCTAGGAAAGGGTAGAGAATGGGTATATATATACAATAAATTCACAAATAAGCACCCTCACAAATATGAAATTTACAAAATATTAATTATGACTTATATCCAACCAACTTGGTTGAATTAGGGCGAAAGAATGTCAACCCAAAATGAAGCGTGCCTTTAATGTACCGAAGTAAACGTTTTACAACAAGATAATGTTCTTCTGTTGGAGCTTGAAGAAATTGACTCATGTGATTAACAACATAAGATATATAGGGGCGCGTGATGGTTAAATATTGAAGAGCGCCAACAAACGAGCGGTGCTTCGTAGGATCGGAGAAAGGCACCCCAACAACAACCAATGGAGTAGAGGATGATAGTGGTGTGGCCACTGGTTTAGATGCAAGCAGACCTGCTCGAGATAAAATACCATGCACATATTTGGATTGACAAACAAAGAGACCCGAATCCATGTAAGACAACTCAAGACCAAGAAAATAATTTGATCGCCTAATGTCCTTAATTCCGAACTCATTATGCAATTTGCGAATGAAAGAATGAATAAGTGAGGAGTGAGTGTCTGTAAGAATTATGTCATCTACATAGACAAGTAAGTATATTAAACAAGTCCCACGTTTGAAGATGAAAAGTGATGGATCAACACGACTGCATTGAAAGTCATCCGCCACCAGAAAAGTGTGGAGGTGATGAAACCAAGCCCGGGAGCTTGTTTGAGACCATATATTATTTTATTTAGCCGAAAAACATGATTTGGTAATCGAGAATCAACAAATCCTGGTGGTTGCTGCATGAAAACTTTGTCAGATAAGTCACCAAGGAGAAAAGCATTATTTACATCTAATTAATTTAACGGCCAATTATTAATAACCACCAATGACAAGACAATACGGATGGTAGATGCTTTAACAACCGAGCTAAAAGTATGTGAAAAATCAACACCGTGCACTTGACTAAAACCCTGAGCCACGAGACGAGCCTTATGATGCTCAATGGAGCCATCAGCATACTATTTGGTGTGAAACAACCACCTGCACCCAGCAACATTGTGAGTATCAGGACATGGAACCAATGTCCACATATTATTGTGATACATAGCATCCATCTCCATACGCATACCATTTATCCATTTAGTGTCACTCATGACTTGAATGTGATGTATAGGATCACTTGAAGCAAATAACACATGAGAGAGCCCATGACATAGAAATTCAGAAAGATTAGCTCGATGCTTGGGTTTAAAATTTCCAGCTTTTGCACAAGTTACTGTTGAGTGCCTGGTTGGTGCCTGTGTAGCGATGGCCAACAGAGTAGTAGTCGTGGGTGATGGTGGTGGATTAGGGGATGCGGGTGTGTTGTGGATAGGAGAGGGACTAAGGGTGCTAGGTGGGGAGGATGTGGAGCTGGTGATGAAGGAGGATCGAATGAAGATGAGTCATCATTGGAGGGAAGTGGCTCGTGAAACACAACACTAGTCGGTTGAGGTGGACATAGGTTACATGGCATCATTGAAGGCGTATGGGTGGGTGGTGTAAGAGGGAAAGGTGATGTGGATATGGAGGGTAGAGGTATGTCACTGAGAAATATGTGAAGGGTGAGGGTAGAGAGAGGTGTATTGGAAGGTACGTCTTTGTACGGGAACCTCATCTCATCAAAACGTAGATGTCGAGTGATATAAATTTGTGATGTAAGTGGATCAAGAAATTGATAACCCTTATATTGGGGGTTATATCCAATAAAGATACACGCAATACTCCTTGGAGCAAGTTTGTTAGAGGTATAGTCCCATAAGTAAGGAAAAACCCGAAAACAAAATGCTTTAAAATTAGCATATTAGGGAACACAACCAAACATAACTTCAAATGGAGACTTTGAAGTGAAAATATGCGTAGGCAAGCGATTAATAATGTAGATCGCGAATGCAAAAGCATGAACCCACTAAGAGGCAGGTACATGAGCATGAAATAGCATGGCAAGCCCTGTCCCTACAATGTGTCAATGTTTCCGTTCGACGCAACCATTTTGTTGCGGAGTATAGGGACACAAAATTTGATGAAACGTACCGTTGTCGCTCACTAACATTTTTACATTATTGTCAAAAATTTAGTTCCTCCATCGCTTTGAAAAGTTTTTATTTTAGTGGCAAATTTAGTTTGAACAAACATCATAAATTTATCAAGCACACTAAAAAAACTAAGATTTTGCTTTGAGAGGATAAAACCAAGTGAATCTTGAGTGCTCATCAATAAATAACACATAATAGCGATAAGCGTTAACCGAAAGAATGGGGGATGGGCCCCATAAATCACAATGTACCATGTCAAAGACACTAAAGCATGTTTGGAATTAAGGTCAAATGGTAAACGACAAGATTTAGTTAATTGGCACGGTGAACATATGACAGGTTTCGGTAAAATAGAAGAAACCTGCAAATGTCCCAAATTACATAATAGTGAAATACTATCAAATAAAGTGTGACCCAGTCTAGAATGCCACAATTCATAAGAGACTTTATTTTTATGCTGAACAAAAAGAGCTTGAACTTGTGGAGCCACAGATAACACATATAGCCCATGATCACACTTTCCTTGTGCTAGCACTTCCTTCATTAGGCGATCCTGAATGGTAACCAGATTATGGGAAAAAATAAAGGGAAAATGACTTATAAGGGTAAGAAAGTTTCACAAATGTTCAAAAAACCATCTAAGTTTGTCGTTGTTCAAAAATTACCATCCAAATAACAATATTGTATAAAAAATACCAATAAAATATACTGTTTGTTCAAATGTTACCTATGGTAACCGGTAGGTGTAGGTTACCTCTCTTATTCAACCGTTTAAAAAAAATAAAAAGAAAAAAGGAAATGACATGGAGTATACGATCGTTTAACATATATGTGGGTTTTACCCTTCTCTCTCAACAACACGAAGATTGGGAAGGCGATTCTTCTAGGGCTCGATCGATCAAATATCCTTCAAGAAATTCTGAAGTCGGATATGTTCATGTAAGTTATACTCTTAACATTCCCTCTTTTAGCAAATAGTTTTTCTTTTCTTGTGTCTCTTTTTGTGTTTCAAACACTGGCTTCGATACCCCAGCCCCTCTAAATCAATCGAACATTGGATATAGAATGGAGGTTTCTAGACTCATCGTTGATTGATAAAAATCAGACCATCACTTATTCTCATGGGTAACAGACCGTAAATCAGGGGTAACAAACCCTAAATCAGTCCGCATACTTTTGAACTGTGTTGAACATTCTTGGAAATTTTATTGTTTTAATTAGTCATATGTTCAACCTTTATTTATCTTATATGATTATGTTACTTGCTAATCATTAACAATGACCTTTGTAGTTGACTTTGGCCGTTAAAACAAGAATGTCGTTCTCAACAGATGGTGCATTGAGTATAGATGTTTTCCATAAAGGAGTGTTTGTTCCTAAGCCCTTGATGTACTTCCATCCTGATAAGACTTCTGTCACAGAGGTAGACTTACGAAATATGGAGTTTAAGGACTTCAAAATCTACATCCGTAATCTGACGAAGGGTATGTGTCATGATATGTACTACTGTCTTCCAAATCGAGCCTTAGTAGATGGGTTGAGGGAGCTGAGAGATGAAGATGATTATGTAAGTTTTCTTGATGCTGGATATAAAAATGGGAGAAGAATCAGTATCTACATTGATCACGGCCACGAGCCACTTATGCAATGGATTGAAGAAGAGATAGCCAAAGATGGAGTGTACGGTGATAGTAATCCATCTTCTGATGATGTGGACTCGGTGATGTCAGATGATATATCGGTAGACCATGAAGTTGATGATGAGGTTATAGAAATTCCTAAATCTGTTGATCCGTTTTTATCCAAGAAAAATCTTATTCCAGAAGGAGGGGTAGATGAGGAAGTTGATGATGAGGTCCACCACTTTCTTATTCGTGATCCCGACCAGAAATGGGACACAATGGTACCTGTATTTGGCATGAGATTCTCTGATAGATATGAACTCAAGCAAATGTTAACAAATTATGCTGTCTTTAAAGGGTATGCATTATGGTACGAAATAAATGACTCAACTAGATTGTTAGTGAGGTGCTGTAAAAATAAAGAATGGAAGGCAGCTTGCCCTTTTAGACTATGGGCTACTCCAATGAGTAGTGAAGATTCATTCCAGATCAAATCGCTAATTGACGAACATAACTATTGCAGGCAAGTTAATTTGGGGTCTATTGTGACATACAGGTGGATTGGTAAAATGTTAACGAATGACATTTTGGAAAAGCCCCGCATCAGCTACAGGAACATGGTTGCATTAGTTAAGAAAAAATTTGGTTTGCATGTAAGTGTTGGGCAATGTAGAAATGCCAAGAGTTTTGCACTAGATGAAATTTCTGGTAGCTTGGTGGGACACTATGAAAAGTTGTGGGATTATGGAGCGGAGTTATTGAGGTCTCATCCGGGTTCAACAGTCTCAATAGAAGTGAATCCTATGCCTGATTCTACAGCTTACTTTAAAAGAATGTATGTTTGCCTTAAGGGTGTGAAAGATGGTTGGATTGAAGGATGCAGGAGGGTGATTGGTGTTGATGGATGTTTTTTGAAGGGTGTTTGTAGAGGTGAGCTATTAGCAGCTGTTGGTAGGGACTTCAACAACCAAATGTACCCGTTGGCATGGGCTGTAGTGTCAGTAGAAAACAAGGAAACCTGGAAATGGTTCTTAGATCTGCTACTTGAGGACATTGGGATGGGAGATGGCAGAGGTCTTACCATTATTTCTGACCATCATAAGGTAAGTTCTTATAAATACATAACTTAGTGCTTTATATGTTATTTTATATTTAATGTTAATATTTTCATCTGGCAGAGTTTGGTAGAAGCTGTTAAAGAAAGAGCACCAGCATGTGAGCATAGGCAATGTGCTAGACACGTCTATGCTAACTTTAAGAAGAAATACACAAGTGTTGAGTTCAGGAAGTTATTCTGGAGAGCTGCAAAGTCCACAACCGAGTCAGCTTTCCGATCTTATATGAGGGAAATCAATGCGATGTCCACACATGCTTATGATCACCTAATGGAAAGAGACCCAAAGACATGCTGCAAGGCATTTTTTGAGCTTGATAGGTGTTGTGATGCTGTGGAAAATGGAATATCAGAATCTTTTAATGCAGCAATTATAGAGGCCAGGAAAAAACCTATTATATCAATGTTGGAAGAAGTCAGAGTGTACGTGATGGAGAGGATGTACAAACAAAAAGGGAAGGGAGAAAAATGGAACTTGGATATATGTCCTTCCATTAGAAGGAGGATTGAGACATTTAAAGAACAACAAAGGTATAATACTTACTTGGAATGCAACTTTTTTTTATTTGAAATTACTTACTTTATACCATTTCATCATAGGTATTGGGATGTTACTCCAAGTGGTCTGCAGATGTATGAAGTGAGACAATTACATGAAGTTTATGCAGTTGACTTGGACCAAAGAACCTATGGGTGCAGAGCATGGCAGTTGACTGGTATACCATGTGTACATGGTATTGCTGCAATCTTGTTTTTGAATGGGAATGCAGAGGAGTATGTTGCAGTTTGGTTCACAATGAATATGTTTGGAAGTTGCTATAGATATAACATGAAACCAACTAATGGAGCTGACATGTGGCCGGAAACAGGTCTTCAAAACATCTTGCCACCAAGGCGTAGGAGAATGCCTGAGAGACCAAAAGTGAACATAAAGAAATGTCGTACAGAAAAAGAAGGAAAACATACTGTTAGCAAGAAGGGGGCATTCCAAAATGTGGTAATTGTCATCAAGAAGGTCACTACAGGAGACGATGTCCATTGCTGAAACAAGGTTTGATTCCTAATTACAATCTTTCTTTATTAAGATTTTGACACTAATAATTTTTTTGCTTTACAGATGAACAACTACCTGATGAGTTTGGGTCTGAAGAAGTAGTGGTTGCTGAGGAGGTTGGGGCTGAAGAAGAAGTGGTTGCTGAGGAGGTTAGGGCTGAAGAAGAAGTCGTTGCCGAGGAGGTTGGGGTTGAAGAACAAGTGGCTGCTGAGGAGGTTGGGGTTGAAGAAGAAGTGGTTGTTGAGGAAGTTATTGAACAAATGGTGGCTGATGAGCAACCAAATGAGGAGCAAGCAGCTGAACATGTAGTTGCTCAACATGTACAAGTTTTTGCTAAAAAGTGTAATAGGATAAAGGGTGGTCCTTCTCTGAGGATCACAAAGCTTAATTTGATGAGAAAGGTGGTTACAAAAGATGGAAGTGGGTCAAGTATTGATAATCCAGTCACCTTAATCTAGGATATTAGCTTTTGTTTAAATTATGCCAAAAACTATGAAATGGCACTTCTTTTGGTGCTTAGTGCACATTAAAACAATTAAGTATTGTAAGGGCTCCTCTTTTGGTGCCTTGTGCACACTTACCAACATTTAGTGTCGGATGCACATGTTTTGAATGAATATCACTTACTGTTTATGCCCTTTAAATTGTTTGTACATCTACTATTTTATCACTTACTGTCCATATATTGTTGTTTGTTGCTTTGAAAAATTGTGATTTTAATAGTTATTTTACCAATCCTTTGTTTGGGCATAATGTGACCAATACTTTGTTTGAGCATGAGGTGGGCAAGAAATAATAACGTACAAATTGAAAGTGTGATGCTATTTCAGAAATGGTGTTTTGGTCATTTACTTCACTACATCAATACTAATATTTGGCCATTGAATCATATATTTTTTTGACAACTGCTTTATCATTTTCTGTAATTAGGTTTTGTGTTACCAAAATCACTCCCAAATTTTCGAATTTGTCCATAAGAAGATGGAAGCTTCACTAGTTTCGCCAAAAATGCAACAAGAATGACCAAAATACCCCTGTTTTTAGTTTCGCCAAAAATGCAACAAGAATGACCAAACTACCCCTGTTTTTAGTTTCGTCAAAAATGCAACAAGAATAACCAAACTAACCCTGTTTTTAGTTTCGCCAAAAATGGAACAAGAATGACCAAAATACCCCTGTTTTTAGTTTCGCCAAAAATGCAACAAGAATGACCAAACTATCCCTGTTTTTAGTTTCGCCAAAAATGCAACAAGAATGACCAAACTACCCCTGTTTTTAGTTTCGCCAAAAATGAACAAGAATGACCAAAATACCCCTGTTTTTAGTTTCGCCAAAAATGCAACAAGAATGACCAAACTACCCCTGTTTCTAAATTAATGACCAAGATGCCTATGTTTCGAAATTAATGAACAAAATACCCCTGTTATAGCAGCCATGTGTGAGGGGTTGCATGCGGTTCTATATCATTGAATAAAAGTTCATTGCTATTTCTCCTCCATTATAATGGCTTGATGACAGTTATACCGTCCATACAAACAACCATTATATACTAAAAGGACAATGATATTTCTTCTAAACATTGTTAAAAGCAAAGTCAAACTACAAAAAGTACATTGATATTTCTTCTAACATTGTTAAAAGGGAAATCAAAGTGACACTACAACTTACCATACATACTAAAAGAAGTAGATTGCAATGATTTAAATATATATACTACATCATTAATTTCACTAAAAACACAACAAAAATCATGATTATGAACCACTTTTGAAATTGTAATTTCCTACTCATTTGTGTCAATTCCTTACTTAAAGTAATATATTCCTTCTTTGCTATCCATTTGTGCTCATTGAAATCTTTTTCCAAAATTGATATCCTCACTTCAATGGAATCTACTTTTATTTCTGTTTCATCTCTCTTATTCGTGTTTCTTACTCCTTCATCGTCATCAACCCATTTCCAAAGAGAATTTGGTGTGTTTGGATCCTTCATATGCAGAAAAAAAATTACCATCTGAAGAGGGAAAACGACATTAACTAAGGAAGTATGTATACAAAAGGTATGATAACTTACCAGTCGGTTGGGACAAACCCTAAATTTTTTCCCATGATTCTTTTTAGTGGTTGAAGTCCAAATTTGCGATGGGAACCCACAACCACAAGGGTATGAATCCTCAACCATCTTATTTGTCTTTGAAACGTTAAAGCTTGAGGATGAGATTATGGATTTGGCAGAACAAGATGAAGCCATCAAGATGCTGACGAAGGAGACGATGCAGGAGAGAAACCAGTAGTGCTCGTCCCTTATTATGCAAACGCCCTAATTCGTTTTCAAGAAAAACATATAAATGCCATGTCATTAATTTTAAGCCATATCAACACTTTTTTAATCCTACTCATCAAGTAACCTACAACAACGGGTTGCCATAGGTAACATTTGAACAAACAGTATATTTTATTGGTAGTTTTTATACAATATTGTTATTTGGATGGTATTTTTTGAACAACGAAAACTTAGATGGTTTTTTTTGAACATTTGTGAAACTTTCTTACCCTTATAAGTCATTTTACCAAAGATAAAATCCACATCATTGTCATGAGTTAGTTTACTGACAGACAATAAATTTTTGGTAAGGTTAGGAACAACTAAAACATCATTTAAGCAAACATTATTCGCAGTCGTGTAAGTACCAACACAAGAGAGGGGAAGAGAAGTGTCGTTACCAAAGAGAAATGAGGCATCCCCAATAGAAGGTGTGGAGTTTGTAAGTGATGCGGAAGAAGAGACAATCTGATCCGAGGTCCCAGAATCCACATACCAATCCAGTGTTGGATTTTTCACATGACATTGCACATGAAAAGCACGAGCAAGATCAAAATCACAAGAAGGAGATGCATTAGTAAAAGATGCAAGTTGAGGATAGGAATTTGCGTGGTGGCCATTGGTACGAAAAAGTTGACAGTGAGGTGGTTGCCGACCACAACCATGACCACCGTGAGGGGTGCGACCACCTCTGCCACAAAAACCAAAAGCAGAAAAAGTGTCCTGTTTGATTAAGGATAAGACTTGTAAATGAGGTGGTTGAACAGTAGTCTGAGGAGACACCAAATCAAAAGTGACCATATATTATCAGGAAACCTATCCAAGGAAAACTAATTTGACTAGAAAGTAGAAAATATACAAGATAATCTTATAAAAAGTAGGACACTTACAAAATAACCATATAGAAATTCCATGAACTCAATTATTTACTTACATCTTCAAATCAGTAAACCCTAAAAATACTATTGCCTCTTCTTCTTGTTGGATCACATTGAAACAAGAAGATGTCGGATCACTTTTCCTTGATTTGAAACAATAACTAGTTCTTCCACACTCGTACAAGTTACAACTCACCGAACTTCTTGCTCTCTCCCTTTTATAGGTTCAGTCGGCTTTTCTCCATCGACTCTTTATTCTCTCTCGTCCCTGAGTCGCTGGTTCCGGACCACCACTGGTTTCCTCTTACCGACTCCATGCATGTACACATCCTCTTTGTCTCTTTTCATATCAGTTAAGACTATGAGTCTCTTACTACACTCTCCATCTCTAGTTTATACATACTAATAAGTATCTCACTTATATATTTATATAGGGTAATAAAGATATACTAAATACAACATAGATATATAGGGCACTGGTGATGAACAAGGGTGATACAAATGTATGCATATGGTAATAAAGAGGCAGTAACTACAACAAAGAAAAAAGTCTACACAAAAATAGAAGATGTGGTACATATGTATGGGTAATAAAATTGGAGTTAATAAAGGTGTGTAATCATTATTATTGATATATATTTACAATGATATATTTAAAATAATATATATATATATATATATATATATATATATATATATATATATATATATATATATATATACACCTTAATAAGCATTTAGCCTCAAATGCTAAATTTTAAGAGGTACAACCTATTATACAATATGTACAATAAATTTATGCTATGCAACATAAATTTTATCGACACGGTCCCCCATCCCCTGTCCAATCTAACAAACTCCCCCGACCTTTCTTATCTGGTCAAACATGTGAATTAGTCAAACTTAAACTTAAACCACCGTTCCTCAATTTTAAGCAATTAAATTTGTCAAAACCATTAAGAAAATCTATTAGATTGACATTATATAAGATCTTCCAAATTGCGGATTCAATTGGCATCTCTGATTTCTCCATTCTCTTCCCCTGTTCATCCGTATCTCCCTTCCTGGTGCATTGAAGTAGCGACTGATGACCTAACCTCGAATTGGCGACCATAACCTCGCACAACAATAAGATCTGAAAGCAATCATAGATAAACTTCCAAGAGGTATCTCTCCTTATCTCTTTTTGGTGCCCGATCACATACAAACACACACTTTTGTTTTGTGCGTACTCGTTATTTCATCTCACGGTCATACTCAAGAAATAACATCTTTGGTTTATTTTCTAGTTAAAATTTCGTATTTCTATGTGAACCCCACTTTGGGTTTTTTTCTTCTGAAGCACATTTGGTGGTCAAGAATTTGAAGGTTTGCTTTTATAATCATCTTTTTATCTTCATTTATCTGGCTTTGTAATAGTGTTGCTTCATCTATCAAGTTGTATTTTCACTAATTACTTCTTAAAAAAATCATTTGATAAGTTCCTTATTGATTAGTGCTAATTTGAAATCTATTGTCAATGGGCTACATGTCTATTTTTTTATTGTGATATACAACAGTTCGACATATCTTTCTTGATTAACCAGATAAATCAATTTTCACTCCAAATGTTCTCTTCATTTTGTGATTGGTAGATATTTAATTACAGGTTAAGTTTTTCTTATCGTTTATTTATTTATTATTTTTTATTTATAAATGTCGTAATATTTGATATGCAAGAACAGTCTCAATTGATTGACTTTGACCAAACTTTTCTTAATAAAAAATGAAAATTTTCATGCAATTCAGATCGATATATGCCTAGTATTATGTAGAAGCCTATACCTGATCTTTTAAGTGTTATATTTGTATGTTTTTTTGTGCTTCAATAATCTCTTTAATATCCTTTTTATTTTTAACAATCTTTTATTTATTGTTAACAATCTTTCAGATGTCACTTTGTTTGCAGACTTCCCTTTTTTCTTTATGGAGGCAGGTATTTCGCATATATGAAATCATTTGACTCTCTTATAATCTTTTCAATTTTTTTGACTTTCTAGGATATGTAAATATTATTAGTGTATTTGTCATTATATTTCTTAATTTACATATTTGTGCATGCTATTTACAATGTTGATGCAGTCTCCTTCAGAATCTAAAAAGCCATCGAAAGGAGTTACAATAGGTGTATTTTCAGATGGGCAAAACTCAGAAGGCAGGAAATCTTAACATACTTTCCCCTATTCACCATTATACTTTAATTAATTGGGTTAATTCTCTTGAACCTTTTATTCTGACCCTCTATCTCTCTCTCTCTCTCTATGTGTGTGTCTATATATATATATATATATATATATATATATATATATATATATATATATATATATATATATATTAGTGTGTGTATCATTTTCATGGATCTATGCTCTACTTTAATGTTAACAACAACAAGGATCCCTAATGGTACTAGATCAGATATGACTAAATGTTTGAATTGCTTGCTCTTTTTGACAAGCTTCATTGATATGCATGTATTTTAAAGGTTTGGAGTGAAATATTGATCCAAAACTTGCTTTTTGGGCCTACGAAGATGCTGATCATCAATAAATTTTTATAGATGTAAGATAAAGATGTTTATTGTGGATTTTTTGAGATAAAGCTAGTGTTTTTGTTCATTCAGTGAACTTTGTGTAAAAGTGAAGACATGTTTCTTCCTTTTTGGACCCTGAATCTGAGTAAGCTAATAAAAAAGATTGTTATGTTGTGTATTTATAATTTAACTTTGTTTTCTATCTGTTTTAAAACATTAGAAAGTAGGTTACCAAGTGGTTGTTGAAGGAGCATTTTAAGAGGATGTCTGATATGTTCAAGTTTCACGGTATTCAAATCTTTTTTGGTATTCTCAGTGATTGACATAACAAATCTCAATTATAATTTTTCTTATACCTTTGACAGGTCATATCAAACAGCTTTGACATAATATATCCAAAATAGCATTGAACTTTGACTCACCCACCAGAAATACCCCTTCACATTGACAAATCATATCCAAAAGCATCCTCAAAGAAAACTATAGTATTTGACATAACATATCTCACTTGTAAGTTTTTATTATTATTATTATTTTCCTTCAATTTGATAATGTTTTTTGAACTTGTTTTAAAAGTGTAAAGTGTATGAATATATTAGAGTATAATATAATTTTAGCATTTAAGCCTTTTTTTATAATTTTGATTAATTATGGTTTTTATAATTTTTTTATTTTTTTATTTTGATTCAACTTAATGAAAAAATTACAACATTAAAAGAGTGAAAAAAAAATATAAAGAAAAAAATTTTGAAAAAATAACATGACATACTGCCATACAATTACAAGCTTCTGAAAGAAAGGTAGTTGTGGTGATCCTTCTCTAATATATATATTGTAACAAGCAATGGTTTTATTAAATGTTATTGGATTTCTACTCTTCAGTTATATCAGAACCTATGTTATAATATAATTTTCTTGCATTTATTTTATGATAATGAAATATATAAGAAATAAAGTACATTAACTACATTGATAGTGACATGTAGCCATGTTTCTATTACTGTAAACATAAGTAGATAATTGGTAATACTAATTTAGGCTCTACCCCTAATCCTAAGATGATCATAATTTATATTGTCGAACTTATGTGTTGGTTGATGCCCACATAAATAATGTCAAATATAAGCCCATCTTTTTTAACTTTATCATTATTTTCTTAATAATTTTGCCGTATACATAAATCACTGTTTGTTCTCTTTTAAGCTGATGTAATAATGGCTCTGTTAGGTCTAAAAAATATGGTTTATACTTTGCTTTTCTAGGCAATTATAATTTTCCGTCTAGGACCGAAAACTGTTCACGGCCGAGGTGGTGTTTACGGTCGTGAACTAGTTCACGGTGCACCTGTTCATGGCCCATGTCCACCATATACATATATGTAAAGGGTAAGGAGTGTGTGTGAGAGTTTGTACGGCCAAGAGAAAGATAAAGGAGTTTAAGTGTGTGTTTGTGTGTGTGAATCTCATGTAAAGGATCATCATTCCATTCATCAATACATTGAAGATTCATATTATTCTTCTTCCC